GAAGCCTTGGCAGCACCACAACCAAGAGACTCCCAAAGCGCACGGGCACATCCAGGCCCCAAACTCCAGCTCCCACCTCGCCTCTGGACCAGCTCCCACTCACAGAGTGGCTTGGTGGTATCAAACCCACCAGGAGAAGCCCATCCCAGCATCCAGCAGATGGTGGCAAATGAGCTTAAAAGGAACACTTTGCCTACCCCGACTCGGCCAAAACCAGGGCGTCCCCAGAAGGGTTTGCACAGCTCTAACAAAACCCGGCTCCCTAAGCCAATTGCCGTTATAATGATGCAATTTAGGGGATAAACAAGCCCTTAAAGGCTGGTTATTCAGGAGGAAAGCCTGGTGTCTGGAGGTAGCTTGCCATGGCTGTGATGAGCCGGCCCCAGCTGACAGAGGATGTGGGCACAGCTGGAACTGCCCGGGCTGGCTGGATGCTCCCCGAGCTGGTCCAGCCCTGGGCACAGTGGCCAATGTCCACGCCAGACCAGCCTGGCAAGCATTTACCCGGTGCCCAGCTCCACGAGCATCTGTGTGGCAGCATCCCAGCCCAGAGCTCGGTGCCAGGCAGATGCTCAGTGGGCTGACACAGCCCGGAGCTGGAGGGCTGGAACAGCACTGAGGAGGGGGGATACTGGGATAAATCAGAGGAGCGGGAGAAGGCCAGGGTAGGAGCAGGCCCACCCCCATCCTTGCCCTCCCCTCAGCGTAAGGTGGCAGCTGGGAAGGAGAGGGGGTGCAAAGGGACAGCTTGGGAGCGTGTGGCAGGGTCTGCCAGGGGCAGAGAGCAGCTCTAAATCAAGGAGCCCCCTCCTCATTACAGGAATCACTGCCCCCCCCCCCAGTCATGCAGCCTCGAGGGGTGAATGTGCCCACTCTTCACCCCCCCTGCCTGGCTCTGGGGGGTCACTGTCCCCTCGGCTCTGGTGCCCAGCCTGGGGGTAATGCCAGGGCAGAGCAGGTCCCCCAAACCCAGCTCAGGGGGACAATGACAATCCTCAGCTCACATCCAACCCGAGGGAAACAGGGGAGCTCAGAACACCCCGAGTCAGCCACCCCGGGGGGGACACGAAGCCCCCTCGGAGGGATCCAGCCCCTCCCGGGGGGGCCAGGGCAGGGCTGAGCACCCCCAGCCCGGCCCCACCCGGGGGTCAATGGGGACCGGGTGCTCCTGGGGGGGGGGAGCACAGCACCCCCCGGGGCGCTAAAAGGGTTGAGAGCCCGAGTCCAACACCCCCGCGGGGGGAGCAGAGCATCCCTTCGGGGGGGGGAGCAGAGCATCCCCGGGGGGAGGCTCAGAGACCCCCCAGTCCAGCACCAGCGGGGGGAGCAGAGCATCCTCTGGGCGGGGGGAGCAGAACATCCCCAGGGGGAGGCAATAAAGGATAAAGCCCCCCGGCTCCAGTCTCACTGTGGGGGCCGAGCACCCCCACGGAAGGGGCAGAGCGTCCCCAGGGAGAGGCAATAAGGGTAAAGCCCCCTAAATCTAGCCCCACCGCGGGGAGCAGAGCATCCCTTTGGGGGGGAGCAGAGCATCCTCTCGGGGTGGGGGGAGCACGGCATCCCCAGCGGGAGGCTATAAGGGTAAACCCCTCGACTGCAGCCCCACCGGGGGGGCTCAGCATCCCCTCGGGAGGGGCAGAGCATCCCCGGGAGGAGGCTAGAAAGGATCGAATCCTCCGGGTCCGGCCCCAGCGGGGGGGCTGAGCATCCTCCGCCCGGCCCCAGCGTGGGGGGGGGGGGCCCAGCACCCCCCAGGCGGCCCCGCACGGGGGCCGAGCATCCCCCGCGGGCAGCGAGGGCCGACCCCGCCCGCACTCACCGCCCGCCGAAGTCGCTGGAAGCAGCCGCCGCCGCCGCCGCCACCGCCCCGCCCTGCCCCGCCCACTGCGTCACCGGCCACGCCCAACCGGGACATGCCCTCCCGTGGCCACGCCCACGGGACACGCCCCCTCACCTGGACACGCCCCCCCAGGTGAGAGGGGTCGGGGGGCTGGGGGTGCGGGAGGGGCAGGGCAGGGTTTGGGGTCAGGGGCCCTCCTGGGGAAGGAACCTCCTTGGGGGGAAGGAACCCCCCTGGGGAGGCAGGAGACACCCTAGGAAGGGAGGGAATCCCCTCTGGGGGGGCAGAAAAGTCTAAGAGTGGGCAGGAATCTCCCCAGGAGGAACTTTCCTAGGGGGCAGGAACCTCCTTTGAGGGCAGGATCCCCCGTGGAAAGGGAAGGAATCCTGCTCGGGGTACAGAGAACTCGGGGGGGGGCAGGAATCCTCCCCGAGGAGGCAGGATACACCCTGGATAGGGAAGGAACCCCCTGAGGGAGGACAGAAAACTCTAAAGAGGAGTGGGAATCCTCTCAGGGGGAACTTCCCTGGGGGGCAAGTTTCCCTCTGGGTAGGGAAGGAATCCTGCTGAGGGTACAGAACACTCTGAGGGGGGTGTGCAGGAATCGCACCATGGAAGCAGGAAACTCTCGGGGCGGGTGAAAGGTTCCCCCCTTGGGGAGAGGGCAGGAATCCCCCTGGGATGGGCAGAGAACTCCCCTGGGGGGCAGGAACCTCCCTGGGGATTAGGAGCCCCCATGGGAACGGGATTCCCCCAAGGGGCTTGTCCAGCCCCAGGGGGAGGGAGGCAGGACCTGGGCTAGGGGGTGTCCCCAACCCTGGGTGCCCCGTTCCCCCTCAGCTGTGGAGACCCCGAAGGTGGGGAGCAGGGATGGGGCCAGGCAGTGAAGCCCCCAACTCTGCCACGGCCCTCTCCTCCCCCTGTGAGCTGTGGGGGGACAGGATGTGTCCCCCTCCTGAGTTCAGGGGGTGTGAGGCTGGACCACCAACCTTGGCTCCCGCTGGATCCGTCCACACTCAGGAACAACTGCCTTCACCTTGCTCTTGTCATATCCCCATAAAACTTCATCTGTTTTCGACAGAGTTTTCCAAGCCAGGAGAACCCTTACTTTTTAAAACTAATCCTGTGATACAGCTCTCAAATAAGGACGGTGAGCAGCAATAGTCCAAGGAGAACGTTTTTGGGTACCAAAGAGGTGGGTGCAGCCACCACCACCAGGATCTGGTTTATTCACTGCCATTCCCCTTAATTTTTATCCAGAGCTTTAAGAACAGATGGATTAGGAACAGCATTTCTGCCAATGAATGGCCTTTCCTGCCTGGGATGATCAGAAGTTTTCTCAATCAAATGTGTTCCTCGCTGATAAAATGCTCTTTGTGTATTTAAAAAATGCTGAGAGAAAGAAATGTGGTCAGGAAGGGAGGTTATAGACACCATCAGCTCCTGGACGTGCCTGGGAAGCAGAAGAAATGTGGATTTCTCTATATTCCATGTGTTACCTCGCTTCAGGGAGGCACAAGAGCTGATGCCACAGCCCTGAAAGCATCTCCTGTGATCCAAATCCTCTCCTGAGGTCTCGTAGGGAAGGAGCACAGGTGGGAAACAGCACAGTGGGGTGTTCACGGAACCACAGAATCCCAGACTCACAGAATCCCAGGATATGCGGAGCTGGAAGGGACCCACAAGGACCATCCAGTCCAACCCTCAGCCCTGTACAGGCCCATCCCCAAGAGTCACCCCCTGTGCCTCAGAGGATCAGCCAAACCCTCCTGGAGCTCTGGCAGCCTTGGGGCTGTGCCCACTGCCCTGGGGAGCCTGGGCAGTGCCCAACCAGCCTCTGGGGGAAGAACCTTTGCCTGAGATCCAACCTGAGCCTGCCCTGACACAGCTCCAGCCATTCCCTGGCTGCTGTCCCTGGTCCCCATAGGGACAAGCAGGACAAGGCCGTACTCTTGTGCCCTTGTGTAAATCCCAAAGGCAGAGAGCAGGACCCCACCACCCTCCTAGTTTGGACACCCCCAGGACTGGGCAGCACTCCCAACCTGCTCTGGGTGGTGCCCAGATCCCTGGATGAGCCGAGTACAGACAGGACAATGTGGAGGACGTGGGGTCAGTCCCCTCCTGGCCACTGGATTTTGGCTCTGGCTTTTGGGGAAGGTTGGGCACCCAAATCCTCCTCCTGGGGAGGTGGGTGAGCCAGGGCACCCAGAGTGGTGGCAGAGGGCACGGCCAGAGCTGGGAAGGGGGATCACACAGCCCTCAGGGGCGGCTGTGGGTGCAAGAGAGTCGTTACTGGGAAGGGCAATTGCCTCAGAGCCCCTCTTACTGGGAGGACTGGAGGACAGAATCCCCTCATACACCCTTGTTACTGGGAAGGGGAGAATCCCCTCAGAGACCTGCAGTACTGGGAGGACTGGGAGATGGGATCCCCTCAGAGCCCCCCTTACTGGGAAGGGGGCAGTTACTTCATGGATCCTATTTACTGGAAGGACTGGGAGGGAGGGATCCCCTCAGGGACCTTCAGTACTGGGAGGGTACAGTTACTTCACAGCTCCTCCTTACTGGGGGGGGATCCCCTCAGGGGTCCCTGTTACGGGAAAGACTGTTCTGGGAGGGGGGGATTCCCTCAGGGACCCTCGTTACTGGGAGGGGGAAGTTCCATCCCAGACTCTCAGTACTGGGGGGATTCCCTCAGGGGTCCTCCTGACTGGGAAGACTGCGAGGGGGAGAATCCCCTCAGGGACCTTCAGTACTGGGAGGGCACAGTCACTTCACAGCTCCTCCTTACTGGCGGGGACGCCCGTTACTGGGAGGGGGGACAACTTCTCAGGGATCCTCCTTACTGGGGGGGATCCCCTCAGGGGTCCCCGTTGCTGGGAGCACTGGGAGGGGGGTCCCCTCAGAGGCCTCCATTATTGGGAGGACTGGGAAGGAGGGGACCCCTCAGGGGCCTTCAGCGCTGTGAGGGCGCAGTTACTCCACCGCTCCTCCTCACGGGGGCTCCCCCCCGACGTCCCCCCTTTACTGGGATCACTGGGGGGGTGGCCGTGTCTCTGCCCCCCGCGGTGACGTCATCCCCGCGCGCGGTGTCGCGGCGGTGACGCGGGGCGGGCGCGGGGCGGGCGCGGTCCCCGCTGTCCCCGCTGTCCCCGCGGGGCCCGGCCGGACATGGCCCCGCGCGGCCGCCCCGCCGCCGCCGCCGCCATGCCCCGCAGGGCCGCCCGAAAGCGCCTCAAGTTCCGCGCCGACGACGTGTGCTCCGAGAGAGGTGAGGGGAGACGGCGCCGGGCCGGGCGGGGCAGCGGGGCCGGGCCTGGATCGGGTGTGAGGGGAGAGGGGGCTGAGGGCACTGAGGGGAGCCGAGCCCGGTCCGGCCCTACCGGGGGAAGGCAGCTTGTGCTGTCCGGAGAGGAGCGCCTGGGCCTGAGCCTGAGCCTGGGCCTGGGCCTGGGCCTGGGCCTGGGCCTGGGCCTGCGTTAAGGCCTGAGGGAGGAGGTGGTTGAAGGGCCTGGGCTTGGCCTGGCTGAGGGGTTTGAGGGGCAGGAGGTCGGGCCAGTGTCATCCGAGCGATTAGCCCGGCCCCCTCGGTCTTGTGGAGGGAGTGTGTCCAGTGGGAGAGATTGGAGGGAGTGTGTCCGGTGGGAAAGGAGTGATTGGGCTTGTGGAGGGAGTGTGGCCAGTGGGAATCTGGCCTGGTATGCGGGAATGAGGACTCTGCCTGCGAAAGAGGAGTCTGGGACTGGGGGATGAGCCAGGCTCTGGTTTGGCTGGGTTTTAGCGGGATTCTGGGGTTTGGTGTGGGTTGAGGTGACTGGTCTGGGCAGGGGGTGGGTCCCCTGAGCCTGGGGTAGAGACTTGCTGGGGACCCCTGGCCTGCAACTGCTGGGACTCGTTTTCCCGCCTGTGCATCTCTCTGCTGCTCTGGGGACCGTCCCCTTCAGACGTGGTGGCTCTTAGCCCTTCTGTGCCCTCCCCTGTAATCCCTAATCCCCCTGACCCGTGTGTCCCACCCTCTGCAGTGACAGTGGCAGATTATGCCAACTCGGACCCGGCTGTGGTGAAGTCTGGACGGGTGAAGAAGGCTGTGGCCAACGCGGTGCAGCAGGAGGGTGAGTCTGCCCCGGGGGCCCTGCCCTCCCTGGGCTGCCTGTGCACGATGTGGGAACCCCCCCTGCCTTAACCTGAGAAAATGTGTGTCATTCTGTGCTGAAAATGAGCCTGTGCTGCTCTGCAGAATCCGGTGCTGAGGGCTCAGACAGCAGGTTCTGCAGGAAGCCTGCTGCAAGTCCAGTAGGAATTGCTGAGTCTTTGTTAGTGCCTGGAATAGAAGGGCTTGGGTGTCATCTCCTGCTCGAAGCAGAAAATGACATGATAAAAGTATTTTATTACTTTATGAGCTCACATAAAGCTGTAGGCAGTTTTATTAGCAGGTAAAAGTCTTTGCAGTGGCAGTAAGGCTGTGACAGTTCTGGCAAACCTGTGCTGCAAGGAGGTCTTGGGGAGGGTGTTGCTGTTTCTTGGGGAACTCTGTAAACAAGGAGTTTCCTGGAAAGGAGTTGCAGTATTTTGTTATCTACTTCCTCCTCTGCTGGGAGCTTTCTGAACCAACACCCCCCTGTGTGCTTGAGAAATGTTAAAGTTTGACTCTTAACTGGAGCTCATCACACGTGTTGGGGGTGGATGTTGTTTTGTTGGCAGTGATGACTGAACTCTTCATCCAGTGAAACTCTCAGCTTGTTGCTGAAATCTTTTGAGTTTTTAAAAGAAATCCTTTTAAAAAGAAAATGTGCTCTTTGCATGAGCACCTGCCAGGGGCAGTGGTCTTGGTGAATATCCTTTTGAGCTGCTATTTCTCAAGCTTTTAAGATCAGGGATCCTTTTGTTGCCTCCCTTGGTATAGGCTTGGGACTTCCCTCTTCCATCCCCTCTCCTGCTCACCCTTCTGTATTCTCTGTCTTTGAGGCAAAGCTCTGCACTTCAGCATCACACTGGCAAACTGCCTTTGTTTCTCCCCTATCCCTGCATCCAGCAGCACCCGAAAGGACAAATCCTTCCCTAAAATCCTGCTCTGTTCCTGGCTCACCTCCACCCCATCCTGATGGCTCCAGCTCCCAGCAGTTCCCTGCCTAGCCCTTTCTCAGCTCTTTGTAGTGCAGTCTCTGGGGCTTTCCCCTCTGGATCTGGGGATCCTCGGGGTGCCTCCTCCCCAGGGCTGTGCTCCAGCCTTATCGGGTGCAGCCCTGAGCTGCTGCAGCCTTATCTGGCACGGCCTTATCTGTGCCACGTGCCAGCCCGCGAGCCTCTGCCCCCACAAGCCTCTGCCCTGGAGCTGCAGCCTTTGGCCTCGCTGCCCTCCTGGATCCTGGCTCACGGTGAATGTGGAGCTGGGTGTGACTGCCAGGAGCAGGAGCTTCCCACTGAGAGCTTCACTGGGAGGGCTGGGGGGAGTTTTCCTGAGCTTTTTTCCTCCCCATCCTCACCCCAAGGATGGGGAGGGTCGTCACAGCAGAGAGATGGAGAGGGAGCCTCTGCAGGGTTGTAGTGCAGCCTGTTGAGTGGATTTGTGTCTTGTGGACTCAGAGGTTGATCTTTGGTGGGTTTTTCCTCTGAACCCCTCTCTGAGTCCCTGTCACTTTTGTCCTCTCTTGCTTGGCCGTGTTTGATGTCATCCCTCACTCGTGTTGCCATCTGTTTCTCTCTCTTTTTGCCTATAAAAGGTCATGTGGAGAGGGCAGTACAACTGGCAGTGGGGGAAACCACTGCCATGGATGCATCCAGATGCCGTGGATGCATCCAGCTTCCAGAGCAACCTGCAGAGTGAGGCTGAACTGGTTTAGCAAAGCACTGGAAGTGCCTCTAGTCTGCGGGCGCAGTCAGGCTCTGTCTTAAGACTGTCTTTCCATCTGCTGTCTTGCCATTTTGAAACCTCGTTTGGTGGTTAGAAATGAGAATATCTCTCACCTGAATTTAATTGTGATCAGTCTGTTATTTTTATTTTTGTTGGGTTTTTTTCTGCTACTCTGCCCCTGTGATTTGAGTAGCACAACTTGCTCTCCAGTGGCTCTGGTGGCTGCAGTGGCTGTAACTGGGATGTATAAAACCTTCCTGGGCTGTAGTGTGTGCTAGGGCAGGAAAGCTTGAGCAGGTTTCTCTTGGTAGCAGTGCTGTTCTTCACCCAACACATTGGGTTGCAGTTCAGCTCTCGAATGAGTTTTATAGACTGTCTACAGAGTTGGTGCTGCTGTGACAGTGCTGCTCTCTGACAGTGTTGGTAGGACCACGCCTTTCCTTTTCCAAGACTGTCATTACTACCTCACATGTGGATTTTTCTGCCCTACCGAGCCCTGAGTTTACAGATCAAGTTTTAAAAAGAATATTTCCCGACAGGGATATGCCTAATCATGCCCCCAGAGGGAGGAAAAAAACCCCCAAACCCAAAACAAACCTCAGCTGACTCAACCTGCTATTTTCCTTGTTAGGCCAGAGTCTTTCCCTTCACTAAATTCCAGGGTAAGTGGAGCTCCCGTGTGCTTGGCACTGAGTTATTTCGCTGATGGATTGTGTGTCATCAGCCACAGCATCTGTTTCTCCTGCTGAGAAGGGAATGTGACTTCTCTGTGCTCCTAAAACAATTCCAGAGTAGGTGCTGGCTCCCGGCTGAACGGTGGCCACAACTCTGCTGTGCAGGGGAACCACTTAGCCCTGCAGAAAGAGCCTGTTGTTTTATTCAGAATTGTAAATAGCTTCAGCTAAACCAGTGGGATCTGCATAATGTGCTGGTAATCGCCCTCATTGTTCATTCTTTAAAACAAGAAGCCGAATAATTAAGTTTCCAATTCACTCACCCCTGCTAATCTTTCCCTGACAAGGTAATCCTTGAGCCCGGGATTTACTTGCTTGTGTCACTTGGCAGAAAGCTTTAAGGCAGTGGTTCCACTGAAGTATCTCCTGAACTCGGATCACCTTTTCCTCTCTGCTGTTGTCCTTACTCTGTCGTTTGTCATTGCAGTAAAATCCCTGTGTGGTTTGGAAGCTTCCTGCGTTCCCGCTGAGGAAGTTCTCTCCGTGTCGGGAGAGTCCTGCGACAGCAGCGATGAGATGGACACAAAGGAGAGCATCAACGGGCGGGCTGCCTCGAGGAAAAAGAAGAGCAAAAGGCACAAAGGTGCGGTCACAACTGCCCGGGGGCTCTGCGGGCTCCTGCTGCACCTCCTCCTGGTGTCAGTGTTCGGGATTTACAGGCTGCTCACGGGCGTTCTGCGACCTGAACGTGCATAAAGAAATGCCGGGGGTTCAGTCACTTGTAAATCTCCAGGCGCTGGGTCAGGGGTGTTGTGTTTGCACAAAGGCAGAGCCTGGGGCATGAAATCAAAGCCTGAGAGCTCCTTGCTTTTAGTAAATATCTCTCAGCCTTGGAAAAAAACCAGTGCTCTTCCGGAGTTGGGAAACTTTGCCTCTGGACGGGTTGCTTCACTGAGCTCGTGTTGGTGAAAGCAGGTTTGCTTTGGGGGTGAATTGTTGCTGTCCACGATGCAGTTGTTGGCAAAATACAAGCTCTGTTTTCAAGGCTGTGGTTTGTTACAAATGAGTTCAGAGGGCTGTTTTTCCAGCAAGGAAGTGCATTTGATCCTGTTGGCATCACAGTAGGTTAATTCCAGGGAGATGAATCCCTCAGCATTTACGCTTTGTGCAACTCTACAGAAAAGCCATTTACAAAGCAACAAACAGCTCTGCTGCACTGTGGAACCCTGCAGAAGTTTCTAGTAACAGGTTGCTTTCAGGTTGAGAAACACATTTTAACTAGTTTTCTTGAGCTTAATACTAATTTATGGAGCACATCACCATCCACCTCAGACTGCACAGCACTCACTGGGAAGGGAGTTAAAGGAGTTTCTCCTCTTTTTTTCCGACATCCTTCAGAATCCTGGCAAAATAATACCTGAGTGGCTGGAGTTATGAGTCTGGGAAGACAATATTCTGTTCTACTACAGCCTTGTCTTATTTTTACTACCTGTTAGGGAGGAAAAAATGGTGCTAGACCAATGATGGTTCTGGCTGTGCTCTGAGTTCAGCAGGTGGAGTTTGAGGGCTCCTTGAGCCAGAGATGAATTAGCAGAGTGGATGTTGTGGGTGTGTCTGCCATAAATCTGAAGTGCTGTGGAGGAGTGATCACCTCCAGAGCTTTCTTGGGCAATTATCACACGAGGATAAAGAACTGCCCTTTGTTCCTAACCTGTCTCAGGGTTAGATCTTGCAAACACCACCCCTGTGCCACTTTTTATGCAGCTTTTCCTGTTAGCACCGTGTACAGGTTGTGTTTTTCTCTTCTCTTATCATTCCTAATGCTCGGGATTGTTTAGGTATTTATACTCTTTAAAGGTATTTTTTTCTCCCAAACTGAGAGCAATGGCTGTGGAAAAACGATTGGTGTAAACCTGAAAACTGAGGGTGTCCAAACCCTCAGTTCTGGCTGAGCAGTTCTGACACCTCTGGGGGAAGAAGAGGCCATTCTGTTTGAGCTGCAATAACGTTTCCCACCCCAGAAGTTCTAATGGAATTAGAGATTTAAGAAAAGCAGCTGATTGCCAGTTGCAGGAGAGAATTGCTTTCCTTCCCTGACAGAGCTCCTGCAAAGGCACTGTGACCACTGGAACAGAGAATTGACAAGCTGGGCAGTGTCTTAATGCTCAAGGACGTGCAGTTCTGATGACCTGTTAAATGAGCAGCTTTGATTAAATATGCAGGAGCTTGTCTCCCCTTTACATAAAGTTGCCTCTTTATTTGCCACCCAATTTTTATCTCTTCACTTCAGGGTGGTGTTTCAGCTGTGAAAGGCTCAGGCATCGAAACAGGGGCTAGAAGGGCTTTGGGGTTTCCAGTGACCCTGAAGTTATTCTTACCTGGGCTTGTTGGGCTGCTACCAGGCATAAAGCAGAGGTAGAAGTGGCTTGGTACAGATGTGATTTACTCCACTAACACCCCTCTTTTTGCACTTAGAAAGCGCTGATGGGGGAGGTGGAGAGGAGTATCCCATCGACATCTGGCTGCTCTTGGCTTCCTACATTCGCCCGGAGGACATTGTCAGGTTTTCTCTGATTTGCAAGAAAGCCTGGACTGTGACTTGCACTGCTGCCTTTTGGACCAGGCTCTACAGAAGGTGAGACTCTCTACAGAAATCTGAAACTGTTTGTAGGAGCCTTCAGCAGTGATCAGAGCTGGAAATAAGGGAATAATTTCCTCCAGGAGAGGGCCCTGTGTTTGTGTATTGACACTGTGATGTGGGCAAGGGGTTGTAGGATATCCCTCTCCTATATGACAATATGAGAGAGCTGGGGTTGTTCAACCTGGAGAGAAGTATCCAGGAAGAGCTCCCTGTGGCCTTCCAGTCCCATAATGGGGCTTAGATAAAGGAGGGAGAGGGAATTTTTATAGAGTTTTTATGTCTTTATATAGTCAATATGTAGTTTTTATAGAGACAGATAGTGACAGGACAAGGGGGAATGGCTTCCCATTGCCAGAGAGCAGGGTTAGATGGGATATTGGGAAGAAATTCTTCCCTGTGAGGGTGGTGAGGGCCTGGCACAGGTTGGCCAGAGAAGCTGTGGCTGCCCCATCCCTGGAAGTGTCCAAGGCCAGGTTGGATGGGGCTTGGAGCAACCTGGTCTGGTTTGAGCTCTGATCATGGCCACCTTCCTGTAATTAGGGTGGCCAAAGAGGAACCAAGGTATTTTGGAACTGTACAGTGGCAGAAGTAAGTTAAAGCAAGAGAAAAAGGCAAAGAGGTGGTCAGAACTTGGAATAAATCCTCCTGTGCTGGTGCATGTTTCCTTCAGAACAAAACATTTCCTTTACATTGCTCTCATTGCCCCGGAGGCAGCAGGGGCACAGAGCAGAGAGCAGCCATGGTCACCCTCACCCTTGACTTTTAGTTGCCCAGCAAAGGCTCCTTTGGGATCTGACCAAAGGATGGCCCTGGAGCGCCGGGTTCAGGCTGCCCAGGCAGAGCTCAGCTCAACTGAGTCCCTGAGAACCTGCAGCAATCTCAGCCTTTTGTGCTGCCTGCAGCTAAAGCCCTGTCTGGTCTCTCTGGGAAAACTGTCTGCTAGGAATTATTGGGGAATTGTGGCACAATATCCCAGGATATGCTGAGCTGGAAGGGACCCACAAGGACCATCCAGTCCAACTCTCAGCCCTACACAGGACCATCCCCAGAGTCACACCCTGTGCCCCAGAGCATCATCCAAACCCTCCTGGAGCTCTGGCAGCCTTGGGACTGTGCCCACTGCCCTGGGGAGCCTGGGCAGTGCCCAACCAGCCTCTGGGGGAAGAACCTTT